ACAGGACCTGCCTGGCTGTAAACAGGACCGGCCTGGCTGTAAACAGGACCTGCCTGGCTGTAAACAGGACCTGCCTGGCTGTAAACAGGACCTGCCTGGCTGTAAACAGGACCTGCCTGGCTGTAAACAGGACCTGCCTGGCTGTAAACAGGACCTGCCTGGCTGTAAACAGGACCTGCCTGGCTGTAAACAGGACCTGCCTGGCTGTAAACAGGACCTGCCTGGCTGTAAACAGGACCTGCCTGGCTGTAAACAGGACCTGCCTGGCTGTAAACAGGACCTGCCTGGCTGTAAACAGGACCTGCCTGGCTGTAAACAGGACCGGCCTGGCTGTAAACAGGACCTGCCTGGCTGTAAACAGGACCTGCCTGGCTGTAAACAGGACCTGCCTGGCTGTAAACAGGACCTGCCTGGCTGTAAACAGGACCTGCCTGGCTGTAAACAGGACCGGCCTGGCTGTAAACAGGACCTGCCTGGCTGTAAACAGGACCTGCCTGGCTGTAAACAGGACCTGCCTGGCTGTAAACAGGACCGGCCTGGCTGTAAACAGGACCTGCCTGGCTGTAAACAGGATCTGCATGGCTGTAAACAGGACCGGCCTGGCTGTAAACAGGATCTGCATGGCTGTAAACAGGACCGGCCTGGCTGTAAACAGGACCTGCCTGGCTGTAAACAGGACCTGCCGGGCTGTAAACAGGACCTTCCTGGCTGTAAACAGGACCTGCCTGGCTGTAAACAGGACCGGCCTGGTTGTAAACAGGACCGGCCTGGTTGTAAACAGGACCGGCCTGTTTGTAAACAGGACCTGCCAAGCTGTAAACAGGACCGGCCTGGCTGTAAACAGGACCTGACTGGCTGTAAACAGGACCTGCCTGACCGTAAACAGGACCAGCCTGGTTGTAAACAGGACCTGCCTGGTTGTAAATAGAACCTTGGCTTGTTATAAACCGGACCAGCACGGTTGTACACAGGACCTGACATTGCGTGCAATGATTGGCTCTTTCCAATCCAACCCGTTCGTGATTGGTCCTGATTTCCTGATGATTTCCAACTTCCCTAAATACTGTATTAGTACAGTATTAGTACAGTATTAGACAGTATTAGACAGTATTAGTACAGTAATAGTACAGTATTAGACAGTATTAGTACAGTATTAGACAGTATTAGACAGTATTAGACAGCATTAGTACAGTATTAGTACAGTATTAGACAGTATTAGACAGTATTAGTACAGTATTAGTACAGTATTAGACAGTATTAGTACAGTATTAGACAGTATTAGACAGTATTAGACAGTATTAGTACAGTATTAGACAGTATTAGACAGTATTAGACAGTATTAGACAGTATTAGACAGTATTAGTACAGTATTAGACAGTATTAGACAGTATTAGTACAGTATTAGACAGTATTAGACAGTATTAGACAGTATTAGTACAGTATTAGACAGTATTAGTACAGTATTAGACAGTATTAGACAGTATTAGACGGTATTAGTACAGTATTAGTACAGTATTAGACAGTATTAGACAGTATTAGTACAGTATTAGTACAGTATTAGACAGTATTAGTACAGTATTAGTACAGTATTAGACAGTATTAGACAGTATTAGTACAGTATTAGACAGTATTAGACAGTATTAGTACAGTATTAGACAGTATTAGACAGTATTAGTACAGTATTAGACAGTATTAGTACAGTATTAGACAGTATTAGACAGTATTAGACAGTATTAGTACAGTATTAGACAGTATTAGTACAGTATTAGACAGTATTAGACAGTATTAGTACAGTATTAGACAGTATTAGACAGTATTAGTACAGTATTAGACAGTATTAGTACAGTATTAAACAGTATTAGTACAGTATTAGACAGTATTAGACAGTATTAGTACAGTATTAGACAGTATTAGACAGTATTAGTACAGTATTAGACAGTATTAGTACAGTATTAAACAGTATTAGTACAGTATTAGACAGTATTAGACAGTATTAGTACTGTATTAGGCAGTATTAGTACAGTATTAGACAGTATTAGTACAGTATTAGTACAGTATTGGTACAGTATTAGTACAGTATTAGTACAGTATTAGTACAGTATTAGTACAGTATTAGTACAGTATTGGTACAGTATTGGTACAGTATTAGTACAGTATTAGTACAGTATTAGTACAGTATTGGTACAGTATTAGTACAGTATTAGACAGTATTAGTACAGTATTAGACAGTATTAGTACAGTGTTAGTACAGTATTAGTACAGTATTAGTACAGTATTAGACAGTATTAGTACAGTATTAGACAGTATTAGTACAGTATTAGTACAGTATTAGTACAGTATTAGACAGTATTAGACAGTATTAGTACAGTATTAGACAGTATTAGTACAGTATTAGACAGTATTAGTACAGTATTAGACAGTATTAGTACAGTATTAGTACAGTATTAGACAGTATTAGTACAGTATTAGTACAGTATTAGTACAGTATTAGACAGTATTAGTACAGTATTAGACAGTATTAGTACAGTATTAGTACAGTATTGGTACAGTATTGGTACAGTATTGGTACAGTATTAGTACAGTATTAGTACAGTATTAGTACAGTATTAGTACAGTATTGGTACAGTATTGGTACAGTATTAGTACAGTATTAGTACAGTATTAGTACAGTATTGGTACAGTATTGGTACAGTATTAGTACAGTATTAGTACAGTATTAGTACAGTATTAGTACAGTATTAGTACAGTATTGGTACAGTATTGGTACAGTATTAGTACAGTATTAGTACAGTATTAGTACAGTATTAGTACAGTATTAGTACAGTATTGGTACAGTATTGGTACAGTATTAGTACAGTATTGGTACAGTATTAGTACAGTATTAGTACAGTATTAGTACAGTATTAGTACAGTATTAGTACAGTATTAGTACAGTATTAGTACAGTATTAGACAGTATTAGTACAGTATTAGTACAGTATTAGTACAGTATTAGTACAGTATTAGTACAGTATTAGACAGTATTAGTACAGTATTAGTACAGTATTAGACAGTATTAGACAGTATTAGTACAGTATTAGTACAGTATTAGTACAGTATTAGACAGTATTAGACAGTATTAGTACAGTATTAGTATAGTATTAGTACAGTATTAGACAGTATTAGTACAGTATTAGACAGTATTAGTACAGAATTAGACAGTATTAGACAGTATTAGTACAGTATTAGACAGTATTAGTACAGTATTAGACAGTATTAGACAGTATTAGTACAGTATTAGTACAGTATTAGACAGTATTAGACAGTATTAGTACAGTATTAGTACAGTATTAGACAGTATTAGACAGTATTAGACAGTATTTAGAGTGAGAAATTATGATCACGTAACAAGATGTGCCTATTTTTTTTATATTTTTGTAACACTGTGCGGTCATGTAACGCCTGTAGCCGAAGCCTGTGTATCCCTTCACAGTGTAAATTACCCGTACATCACTTAACAGAAGCCGTAAACGGTAAGTCCTGTTGTTATATCCGTTGTAACGGTATGCGTTATACAGTACTGCCCCCAGGTAGCTACCTGCATCTGTTAACAGAACCCAATTAACAGTAGCTAGCTAGATGATAGCTAGAAACCGTTATTATCGTCAAAAGGTTTTTCCCACCTTCACCCGTTAGCTGCAGTGCCTGTTAAGAGAACACTCAAATAGTATGTATACCCTTTAACCACTCAAACAGTATGTATACCCTTTAACCACTCAAACAGTATGTATACCCGTTAACCACTCAAACAGTATGTATACCCTTTAACCACTCAAACAGTATGTATACCCGTTAACCACTCAAACAGTATGTACACCCGTTAACCTCTCAAACAGTATGTATACCCGTTAACCACTCAAACAGTATGTATACCCGTTAACCACTCAAACAGTATGTATACCCGTTAACCACTCAAACAGTATGTATACCCGTTAACAGAGCCGCGCGCGTCACGCTAGGCTGGCGAAGCTTCGCCAGAAGCAGCTACCGTGACGCCTCTCAGACTTTCACTTAGTTTCGCAGTGTTCTTGAGGCTCTAAGCTCGCTTCCCTGCGAGATTAAGCTCAGTTCCCCCGTAAGATCGAGCTCCTTAACTCACGCGATTCGTCATTTCACCTTCAGATCATCCCAGTTGGCTTCGAATAGTGAGCCGGAGTCTTGAGCTTGCTACTTCTCTCCAACACTCATACTAAGATCAGCTCAGTGTCTCATCCTCAGCTTAAAGTTGTGAATGTCAAGCACTTAATGAGCTTAGTTCTGTTCATCTCCTTGAACCACTGAGCGCAGATGCTGGGCTCAAGAACGGTGAGATTGAGTTGTTTTTTTTAAGATCTAGGTAATGTCATGCATAAGGCGTACTGTTATTTGTGATCTCAGGCTATGCATTAGGAGAACAGCGATTGTTCTCCCTGCATTAGGAGAACATTGATTGTTCTCCCATTGCGAGACCAAGGAATCCCTTCATTGATTTACGAGACAACAGTGATTTTTTTTTTTTAATTTTCTTACACAAGAGGTCACATTACATGTTTGGTAATAATTGCTTTCAGTCGAATTGCTCTTGTTGCTCAGTGGTTTTGTCTCGCTGGGAGACTAATGGTCGGTTCAGTGCAGGTAGGTTCCTGTCTGTCTGTCTGTCTGTCTGTCTGTCTGTCTCTCTCTCTCTCTCTCTCTCTCTCTCTCTCTCTCTCTCTCTCTCTCTCTCTCTCTCTCTCTCTCTCTCTCTCTCTCTCTCTCTCTCTCTCTCTCTCTCTCTCTCTCTCTCTCTCTCTCGACAAGGCAGGCCGGGCGCTCGCCTTGGAACTCGGAGGTCCTCGTTCGATACACTTATTTAGATGAGATCTGCTCAGAGATCAGCTAACCTGGTGGCGGTCAAGTCACTTGGCAGCCTCCTGGTCAATACACAGGTCACCTCCAGACCTTCTGAACACCCCTACAAGGTACTTTACTTAATTAACTTACTAGTAAAGAGATACATGTATCTAATGCCATGCCAATAACCCTGGCACGCTTCCTATAGTAAAGCAAACATGTAACTTAAGTAAATTGTTATGTGTTGATCACACACAAAATAAAACATTCCCAATTTCCTCGTTAACTTTATTTTCAGAATGTCCAGATATTTTTTTAGGGGGGGACTCGACAGCCTTGAGAATTGTACTTAATTATGTAACTACTCGCTATTCACCTCATCTGACTTGCACGTCAACTCTTGCAGGTTGCAATCCCATCAGTGTATATATATATATATATATATATATATATATATATATATATATATATATATATATATATATATATATATATAATCCCTTCATAACTCTTTGGGCTTCATATCAGCTATCTCAAACGAACGTGAGTTTGTCAACTTTCTCTCGTGGTGAAGCCCGACCTCTGCACCCACACTTTCCCACTATTAAAAAAAAATCCATCAACTTGCAACAGTTCTCAGTTTGCGGTTCGCCAAGCTCTTCCCTCCCCCTCTTTCCCCCTCTGTAACTGGAGCGGCATTTTGTGATTGGAATTTAGAATTAGACAATGTATGGGTGAGAGCTTTTAAGTCTACAAACTGACGTATTGTGGCATACATTGAATAATATGTTTCTTATTATGTGTGAATTTACCAACATACACTATGTATGTCTGTTGGTAAATGAATGTGATGGTAATATTTTGTTGATGTTTCGTATGTTTTCAGATAATAACGTCTTCGATTAGCCATCGTATACAAATGAAAAATACGTTATACACACATACATACATCATATATGCACTATACACATATACACACATACACACGTGTGTGTGTGCGCTCTCTTGTGGATAAGGGAGTATCTAAGCAACAGGAAACAGCGAGTAACTGTGAGGGGGGAGACATCAGAGTGGCGAGATGTCACCAGCGGGGTCCCATAGGGCTTTGTACTTGGACCCATCCTGTTTCTGATATATGTAAACGATCTTCCAGAGGGTATAAACTCATTCCTCTCAATGTTTGCTGATGATGCCAAAATTATGAGAAGAATCAAGACATGAAAATAGACAGAGACTACAGGACGACCTGGACAAACTGGAGGAATGGCCTAGAAAATGGGTACTAAAATTCAACTCGGGAAAGTGTAAAGTAATGAAATTAGGCGAAAGGAGCAGAAGGCTGAACACAAGGTACCATCTGGGAGGTGAAATCCTACAAGAGTTAAATAGAGAGAAAGAGAGCAAGGGTTGATATCACACCGAACCTGTCCCCAGAAGCCCACATCAAAAGGATATCATCAGCGGCATATGGAGGTTGGCCAACGTAAGAACTGCCTTAAGAAACTTATGTAAAGAATCGTTCAGGACCTTGTATACCACATATGTCAGACCAATCCTGGAGTATGCAGCTCCAGCCTGGAGACCATACCTAGTTAAACACATAAACAAAGTTAGAGAAGATTCAGAGGTGTGGCACCAGACTAGTCCCAGAACTGAGAGGTGTGAGCTACGAGGAAAGGCTACGGGAGCTAAACCTCCCGTCCCTGGAAGACAGAAGAGTAAGGGAAGACATGATCACCATCTACAAAATTCTCAGGGAAATTGACAGGGTGGACAAAGACAAACTATTTAGCATGGGTGGAACACGAACAAGGGGACACAGATGGAAACTTGTATATCCAAATGAGTGTCAGAGTAGTCAACAGATGGAATGCATTAGGCAGTGATGTGGTGGAGGCTGACTCCATACACAGTTTCAAATGAAGATATGATAGAGCCCAGTAGGCTTGGGAATGAACAGTTGATTGACGGTTGAGAGGCGGGACCATAGAGCGAAAACTCAACCCCCGCAAGAATAACTAGGTGAGTACATCATACACACATTATACACACACTATACATACATCAAACACACACACACACACACACACACACACACACACACACACACACACATTGATATATATATATATATATATATATATATATATATATATATATATATATATATATATATATATATATATATATATATGCGAACAAGCCTGAATGGTCCCCAGGACAATATGCAACTGAAAACTCACACCCCAGAAGTGACTCGAACCCATACTCCCAGAAGCAACGCAACTGGTATGTACAAGACGCCTTAATCCACTTGACCATCACGACCGGACAGAATGAGGTGATAGCCTAAGCTATTTGAACCACCCCACCGCCGGCACTCGGATAGTAATCTTGGGCATAGCATTTTACCAAATCACCTCATTCTTTGGGGCACACACGTTTTGTTCGCATTTGTGTTCCTCACGTGTGCCCCAAAGAATGAGGTGATTTGGTAAAATGCTATGCCCAAGATTACTATCCGAGTGCCGGCGGTGGGGTGGTTCAAATAGCTTAGGCTATCACCTCATTCTGTCCGGTCGTGATGGTCAAGTGGATTAAGGCGTCTTGTACATACCAGTTGCGTTGCTTCTGGGAGTATGGGTTCGAGTCACTTCTGGGGTGTGAGTTTTCAGTTATATATATATATCATACACACATCTCAACTAAAAAATAAACTGAAATACATTTATAATCTCCCCATAGCCTCTAACTATGATGTTTAGCTTTCTCGTAAAGCTTACCTGTAATTCTCAAAAAATTTCTTCTCGTAAGCTTTTCGTAAAATTTCTTCTCGTAAGCTCCTCGTAAAATTTCTTTCGTAAGGTTCCCGTAAAATTTCATCTCGTAAGCTTCTCGTAAACTAATAAATCGCTATTCTATTGTTAACGAATCGGTCGATTGGCTTCAAAATGCGCTGGATTTTGAGAGAGGACAAGTTGCAGCATCAGCATCTTCAAACTCCCCTTCAACTCTGACCTTTCCCACGTCAACTGTGCGTAGCCTTATAGTCTTCTCTGGAGAGGCTGAGAAGCTTCATCTGTCACTCACCTCTCCGTCACTCGTCTCTCCGTCACTCGTCTCTCCGTCACTCGTCTCTCCGTCACTCGTTTCTCTGCATTACGCATGGCGCATAGAGGCTGTTTGGCATGCTCTCGAGCGCGGGCCTCTACACCAACATGCGTATAAGTGAATGCATTTATTTTTCTTGCATTTGCAAGACGACCCCCCTATGCAAGTATAGGGAAATACACTGGTATACAATAGGGGAAAATAGATAAGGGAACTGTTTGTTTCTCTGTCTCTTTGTCTCTCTCTCTCACTCTCTCTCTCTCTCTCTCTCTCTCTCTCTCTCTCTCTCTCTCTCTCTCTCTCTCTCTCTCTCTCTCTCTCTCTCTCTCTCTCTCTCTCTCTCTCTCTCTCTCTCTCTCTCTCTCTCTCTCGCGTCCACTGCTTTCGTGTTTCCTCCCTTAACACCTTTACTACTCCCCCACCACCAGCTGGGACTGCCCCCCACCACCAGGATCTTCCCCCACTACCAGCTGGGACTGCCCCCCACCACCAGGATCTTCCCCCCACCACCAGCTGGGACTGCCCCCCACCACCAGGATCTTCCCCCACCACCAGCTGGGACTGCCCCCCACCACCAGGATCTTCCCCCACCACCAGCTGGGACTGCCCCCCACCACCAGGATCTTCCCCCACCACCAGCTGGGACTGCCCCCCACCACCAGGATCTTCCCCCACCACCAGCTGGGACTGCCCCCCACCACCAGGATCTTCCCCCACCACCAGCTGGGACTGCCCCCTACCACCAGGATCTTCCCCCACCACCACGACTCTCCCCCACCACCAGGATCTTCCCCCATCACTAGGATCTTCCCCCCACCACCAGGACTTTCCCCCACCACCAGGACCTTCCCCACCACCGGGACTCTCCCCCACCACGTAGATTAGTAACAAAATTAACAAACTGTTTGTCTGTCTGTCCCATCATTCAACTAGTCATGCATGCAGGAAATACAACTATAGATAACCAGCCAAAAAATACAACAAATACAAAAATACAAAAAAATACAATGATTAGAGAAGTGTCGGCAAACTCCAGGTTTTACCACGATAGAAAAATACTTTCACAATGACGATCAAATATTTCTATATATGTTTTTTTTGTGGAATATAATAATAAAAGGAAGCCTTGGCTTGACATTGAGGCTTCGCCAGCGACGTTGGCAGCAAGGGAAACCGGTTTGTAGTGCGAGGGATGACCAATGCGAGAGCTAGCGTACGGCCTCGCCAAAGAGGGTGAAAGGGACTCGTAACCCAGAGACCCCCCCCCCCCCCGAAGGACAACTTTGAGAGCTCTGAGCAATTATTAAATCAGAGCTCTTGAGAGCTCTGAGCAATCAGAGTTAGAGAGCTGCTATAGTATACAGACATAGTTAAAAAAAAAAAAAGAGTTCCTACAGTACATCAAAAAGACACAATGTGTGTAAATCTATGTGTTTTTTTTTATCATTTCCCCCCCCCCTCTCTCCCCCCCTCTCCCCCCCTCTCTCCCTCCCTCTCCCCCCCCTCTCCCCCTCTCCCCCTCTCCCCCGTCTCCCCCCCCCCATCCCTCACATCCATCTATGCTATCCATTCATATATATATTGATATGGGCGTCCTCATATTACAATCAACAACAAGTGACCTGACCTTCCCTGCCTCCTCCCCTCTCTCACCCCCCTTCCCCCCTCACTTGACCTGCTTTACAACCCCCCCCCCATTCACCCCCTCACCACCTCACACCCCCCCCCCCCACCAGGACGTCTGGACGCATCTCCGCTATACCAAATATTGAAAGAGTCGAGGTTCCCAGCTCTCTCGTGTGGACTCCTGGCATAGTGCGTTTTAAAGGTTTTTTTTTTTTCTGCCACAAACATGCTATAGAGTGATAAGTACCATATGTACGTTCCTCTCCGTCTTTCATCGGATTACAGAGCTGCTACAGTACACAGAGCTACAGAGCTGTTAGGGTACACAGACAGCGTTAGAGAGCTGCTACAGTACACAAACAGAGCTACAGAGCTGTTAGGGTACACAGCATTAGAGAGCTACTTCAGTATAGAGACAGAGCTAAAGAGCTGCTACAGTACACAGACAGAGCTAGAGAGCTGCTACAGTACACAGACAGAGCTAGAGAGCTGCTACAGTACACAGACAGAGCTAGAGGGCTGGTGCAGTACACAGACAGAGCTAGAGAGCTGCTACAGTACACAGACAAAGCTAGAGAGCTGCTACAGTACACAGACAAAGCTAGAGAGCTGCTACAGTACACAGACAAAGCTAGAGAGCTGCTACAGTACACAGACAGAGCTAGAGTGCTGCTACAGAACACAGACAAAGCTAAAGAGCTCCTACAGTACACAGACAGAGCTAAAGAGCTGCTACAGCACACAGACAAAGCTAGAGAGCTGCTACAGTACACAGACAAAGCTAAAGAGCTGCTACAGTACAAGGACAAAACTAGAGAGCTCCTACAGTACACAGACAGAGCTAAAGATCTGCTACAGCACACAGACAGAGCTAGAGAGCTGGTACAGTACACAGACAAAGCTAGAGAGCTGCTACAGTACACAGACAAAGCTAGAGAGCTGCTACAGTACACAGACAGAGCTAGAGAGCTACTACAGTACACAGAGCTAGAGATCTGCTACAGTACACAGACAAAGCTAAAGAGCTGCTACAGTACACAGACAAAGCTAGAGAGCTACTACAGTACACAGAGCTAGAGAGCTGCTACAGTACACAAACAAAGCTAAAGAGCTGCTACAGTACACAAACAAAGCTAAAGAGCTGCTACAGTACACAGACAAAGCTAGAGAGCTGCTACAGTACACAGACAAAGCTAGAGAGCTGCTACAGTACACAGACAAAGCTAGAGAGCTGCTACAGTACACAGACAAAGCTAGAGAGCTGCTACAGTACACAAACAAAGCTAAAGAGCTGCTACAGTACACAGACAAAGCTAGAGAGCTGCTACAGTACACAGACAAAGCTAGAGAGCTGCTACAGTACACAGACAAAGCTAGAGAGCTGCTACAGTACACAGACAAAGCTAGAGAGCTGCTACAGTACACAGACAAAGCTAGAGAGCTGCTACAGTACACAGACAATGCTACAGAGCTGTTAGGGTACACATACAGCTAGAGAGCTACTACAGCACACAGAGTTAAAGAGCTACTACTACAGCACACAGAGTTAAAGAGTTGCTACAGTCATAGATGATGAACGAAGTGCTTTTAATAAGCCATAGCCGCGATCTTCCCCGACGGATCCGCCAGGAAATAATGTCTTTATGCAGGCGATGAGTCACAATAACGTAGCTGAAGTATGTTGACTAGACCACACACTAGAAATTGAAGGGACGACGACGTTTCGGTCCGTCCTGGACCATTCTCACAATCGACTTGAGAATGGTCCAGGACGGACCGAAACGTCGTCGTCCCTTCAATTTCTAGTGTGTGGTCTGGTCAACATAATGTCTTTAGGTTGACCAAGAAGCCATCCAGTGTAGCCATTAAATCTGATGTTGTTTCTAAATCTTCACTTACCCTTTCTTATCTATGGCATACATGTCGTATCATATCTCCTTATCTCTGTGCTGGGTGCTTCTGTGCTCCTATCGGTCTTATCGCCACTGTTTCTTTTCTTAATCTCGTCCACCTTAATTTGATTTACATTAGAAGACAAGAATTAAGAAAATTTGTAAATGCCTTTTTGGCCCAAACGAGACAGCTTCTGGTGATATCATTTACATGTATTTATTTCTTATGTGAAACAATCTATCGATCCCATATCTATCGTATTACACGATAGCTGATTAGGAAATGGCATTGAAAATAGACAAATTGACCTTGGCGCGGATGATAAGGATAGCAGGCTAGAATCGTATATACACACAGGTGCCTGACAACAAGGATAGATATAGATATACACCTGGACGATAATGATATAAGTCAACAACATATTATCTATAAGACAATAGATATATAAAATATATTGTGAAAGAGATACTGTGGTGAATATAGCGGAGTATATTGTGAAAGAGATACTGTGGTGAATATAGCGGAGTATATTGTGAAAGAGATACTGTGGTGAATATAGCGGAGTATATTGTCCACTGTGAGATGTTTATATATCTTTACTCCTTATATAAACTAGTGAGGAAATGTTGTTATTGATATATAATTTTTTTTTTTTTTTTGTAAACTCTGCCCAGTAGGACGAGTTTATAAGAGAAGTTCACTCATATTCCATTTTTTCATTTTACCAGTTGTGTATACCAGTATACATAATACTAGACTTGTGTATACATACGTTGCGTATGATACGCAATGAAATCATAATATTATGTATACTGGCGAGATCCATATTTATACTTCGGGTGATAGTGAAAGAGGTTGTGAGGGCACACGCCCTCTGTACTTCTTGTACTCTCTGTACTCCTTGTACTCTCTGTGCTCCTTGTACTCTCTATGCTCCTGGTAATCTCTATGCTCCTTGTACTTGTAAACGCTGTGTTCTTTCTACAAGGAGCAGGTGGAAATTGAGTTCCCAAATGAGCCATAGAGACGCTAGAAAGAATTTTTTCAGTGTCAGAGTAGTTAACAAATGGAATGCATTAGGCAGTGATGTGGTGGAGGCTGACTCCATACACAGTTTCAAGTGTAGATATGATAGAGCCCAGTAGGCTCAGGAACCTGTACACCTGTTGATTGACGGTTGAGAGGCGGGACCAAATAGCCAAAACTCAACCCCCGCAAGCACAACTAGGTGAACACACACACACACACACACACACACACACACACACACACACACACACACACACGCACACACACACACATGACTATGTGTGTGTGTGTGAACAAATATGGGACTATGAACAAATCCACAAGGGCCGTGACGAGAATTCGAACCTGCATCTAGGAGCAACCCGGACGTTGCCTTAACCTAGGGACTATGTTTGAGCATGAATAAGAAAAACAACTCGTATTTTCTTTTCTTAATAATGTCATCAAGTTACCACCTTTTATCAATCACTTAATTATGAGACTACTTTTTAGTGTAAATGATTTTCAG